TTGACTTCTGCACTCGCCGTGATCTGGGTAGGAATACCTCCTAACCCGATCTCTGGGTTAGGAGGTATTCCTACCCAGATCACGGCGAGTGCAGAAGTCAAGATAACCCTGGGATCCAGGGTGGTCTACATCATGAAATTGTGGGTGGCCAATATTGGTGAAGGATTGGACGTACTAGTAGGAATAGATTTCATGTTCCGCGCGGGTGTACGAGTCTGTGTTCGAGAAGGTTTGGTATAACTCCCAGACGAAGAGGCCATCCTGATGTACGATGAAGATGTCAAGGTACCCCATGGCGTGGACTTGCCAGTCACATCTCCAGAAAATTTGTACCTCATGCCCGGAGAGCATGCAGTCGTGCGTATCCAGTATGGGCATACGAATCGAGAACAAGAGGTCGTTTGGGCTGAACGAGGTGACAGGAGGATAACCAAGAATGCCTATCAGGCTAGACACTGGTTGGTGGCGATTAAGGTGGTGAACGTGTCGAACTATAGTGTCTGGATCGACATGAAGACACCGCTCACCAGGATTGTCCAATATGGTCATTTCCGCAGGAAGGTCGTTTTGTCCGCCCTGGAATACGCTGATATCGTGAATGGCAGACACTGATCCTGGAACACGCCCAGTCAGAACAAGTCAGGCTCAGGGCTGAACGGAGGGAACAGGCACTGCGAGACCGAGAGCCTCTGTTGTATCGAAGATGGAGTATCAATGGCCAACCAGGACTATGCTGAGACCTCAACCCGGATCTACAGAAGTCAGGATGGCTCGGTTACAAGATCTCGCAGTTCAAGATGCTGAACCACGGAGAATTGGTGGATGCGGGTACGCAAACGGAAGAAGACCTCCTGGCGACAACCAGAATGGACATCGCTACACAGGTCAGTGAGAGTCAGCTAGGTAGCCATGGATGCGATCCTGGCGAGGGGAAGATTCAGGATGATGACCAAGGCGGTACCTCTGTGGAGATGCCTCCAGAACCGACTACCGAATTCGAGGAGCACCAGGGCGGCGGAATGTCCTCGGAAATACACACCGAATATGGCGATTCAGGGTTGCTCCCAGAAAAGACATCCTGTACACTACTCGAGAAGCTGGAGATGGAGTACGAAAGCTGTATGAGGATCAGTGCTGAAGAGTTGGATTTGGAACCAGGCGAGTATATTCGTATAAAAAGTGAGATGCTGGCACAATTGCGAGACCTGTTGGTCATGCTACCAGAATTGAGTGAATTCCACCCAGAATGCAACATCGATCAGGCCGATGTGGGAGTCCCAGTAGGGACATACCCCGAAGATGAGTCCAGGATGGGTGCGATTCTGAAACGCCATAGGAAGATTTTCCTGGGAGATGGAAATGCTGCACCAGCCCCCGCTAGAGGAGTGGTATGTGATCGTGATGTGGGGGAAGCCAAACCCATCGCGTTACGCCTAAGCTCAATTGGACCGCACGTGGCAGTCAAGGTGTATGAACTCTTCAAGAAGGTGCTCGAGAACAATCTGATTGAGCATTCAGAATCGCAATGGGCATCTCCGATTGTGATCGTGCTCAAGAAAAATGGGGTGGACATCAGGATGTGTATTGACTATCGACTTGTGAATAATTTCATCCAGCCGTTTAGCTACCCGCTACCTTTCATCGACGACCTGTTAGTCGGTTTTGAGAAAGCACTCTGGTTCATGAGCCTGAATATGGCCAGTGGTTTCTGGGCAATCAAGATGACTGAAAGAGCCAAGTTGATTTCAGCTTTTATATGTCCATTTGGACATTTCTAGCGGATTCGAATGCCGTTTGGTCTAAACAAATGCACCTCTGATTTAACAGCATGTGACCAACGATTGCCTGTGGGTATTCGTGCGTCTGTCACCAGAAGAGGAGGCGGAAGTAGACCGAAAAGTTCTGGATTGCTTGAATTTGGACCCCCAGGATGACGGACCTCCAGGGTGTGGCGCCCCAGGGTGTACAGGCTGTGAGAACGACCATTCGCCTCGATCGTTGCCGACCTTGGCAGATCAAATGACGGTGTTCAAAAGGAACATTCCTGCTCCGACGCAGATGTCACCTGTCCTAGGACGCAGCTCGTTTATCGATGATACCGCACATGGCGCACCGAGTTGGGACGCATTGTGTGCTGATTTGGACGCCTTGTGGTACAGGCTGCGGTATTGGAATATCTCAGTAAGTTTGCCGAAGAGCGAGTTCGGGATCCGAATTTGGGTCATGAGATTAGTGCTGAGGGAATCAGGGCAACACCGAAGATCGCTAAGGGTGTTCAGGATTTACCATTCCCAACGACAATGAAGGGGGTACAATCCTTGTTGGGCAGCCTGAACTACTACCACAAATTCATCGAGGACTATCCCATGATCGCAGCCTCCATGTATGAACACTCAGATGACCAAGTGCGTTCAGGCCGAGATTTGTTCAGAGCAAAGCAAGCGTTTGAAATCCTGAAGCACATGATCGTGTCGACCCCGGTATTGAGGCGTCCTGACAGGACCAAGCCGTTTGTTATCATACCCCATGCAAATCAATGGGCTGTCTGCGCAGTCCTGGGCCAAGAACATGACGTCTTAATCCAGCCAGTGCGTTTCACAGGGCACGTCCTCCACGATGCAGAATTGAGATATCGAATAGCGAAAAAAGAGGTCTTCGCCGTGTTGAGAGTGCTGCAAGTGTTCAAAACACTCATTCAGGGTCTCATCGCGTATACCAGACACTCAGTATTGAAGTGGATCATGAAGTCCAAACCTGCAGATGGGAGGTGTGTGCCCTGGGGCGTTTTACTTTCGCAATGGAATCTGGACATCCGGAAAACCCAACGAGACGATGACGGGTTAGCCGCAAATCCTGGGTGCCAGCATTACGCCCCGAGAGCATCTGGATAAAGTCGCCGAGGAACTCATCCCCACCATAGGAGGTGCGAAACCACCCCCGGTAATTAGCGTTGAAATGTTGGAGGATACCTTTGAAGGCATCGTGTTGAGTTTTGATAATCCGCCAAGACATCTACTCGACAGGGTAGCTGTGGATGCATTTTGTGGGAACTCACTGGTTGGAAAATCCTGGATGCACAAGGTTTTATCCTGGAGGACGTCACTGTAAACGACGCCGAGTACTGTGGGCTCTTGAATGGCCTAACAATGGCGCGGGTCAGAGGCGTTCGAGATCTGATCGCGGTGGGTAACTCAAGAATCGTCATCCAGCAGGTACAAGGACTGATCCACTGCAATCAGCCCAATTTGCAGATGCGATTGGCCAGTTGTGAAGCACTGAAAACGAAGTTCGATTCGGTGAGAATAGTACACGTCAAGCGAGATTTCAACCAGGCGGCGGACTATTTGACTTCCAAGACATTGTTGCTCGGAAGATCCTGGAGTGTCCAAGAAGACGGAGAACGTCAACACCTGGAACGAGTACCTAAAATTCAAGAGAAGTTGATGAAGTCAGCAGAAGTTTGCCCAGTGGTTAGGCATTCAGGACTGGTAGCCATCCAGGATGGAGAAAACTATTCAGATGCCCCTGAATATCCCTCCGCCCTGGATGTCATGGCGGCTACGCTGCCATGTGCAGCCAAAATCGTGGCTGCCGTGACACGAGCTAGTGTCCGAGACAGACGGGTGTCCTCGGGGCCCCTCGACCCTCTAGAGTATCAACGCGAGAGATGGCGGTGTATTAAGGTGCGCCAGGAACAAGACGAATACCTGTGCGATCTAAGAGATTTCCTGAACGGAGAAGTCGATCGTTTCACGCTTCCCCAGTTGCGAAAGATCGCAAAGGTCGCAGACATGTTCGCCCTGGATGCCCGAGGTGTGCTGTATCGGTTAGCCCAGTCCACCCGCGACAGACCTCGAGATGCCCAGGACGAATTTCTCCTGGTACCCTGAGAGTAGACCTCCTGCATTATGCTCAAGAGGATTTTCAGGGACACCAGGACATCAATCGGACTCACGAAAAACGGTGTTCTGAATTCTACTGGCCCTGGATGTACGCAGACGTGGAACGTCATGTCTAGGAGTGTGTTAATTGTGCGAGCGGTAAGGGGCATGTGGCGAAGCCAATTGCAGCTTCACAAACCACCGAGTTTTCAAAGCCAACTGGCACAAGCTTTCAGGGACAGCTCACTTCAGACCGTGATTGGTTGATTATGCTTACCGCATCCTAGTGACGAAGTCACTGCTAGGACCATCCGAGCCCTCGGCCATCCTAGTATAACCTG